TCAGGTGACATATTCCAGGCAGTCCCTGTTGCCTCTCATCTGCCAACTCGATGTTTTCCTGCTTTTTATCCAGGGGAAATCTGATTCTTTTAACATCAATGACAAAAAAAATTTAAACAATCAACAGCATTTCCCTATTGTTTTCTCTTTCCTTTTTCTCATTCCTTCCCTTCCTTTCTTTCTTTTTCCCTGTTCTGTTTTCCTTTTCATGTTTTTTAATCTAATCTAACTACAGAGCATCCAGATGCTACGCTCTAGGTGTTTTTACAAAGACCTGATCTCTCAAATCTTACCCTCTTGACTTGATTACAGCACAGAGTAGGAGGGCAAGAGGGACACGGCTAAAATCACAGCTCAGCAGAGCAAATGAGCAAAAGATGTATTGTATTTACATATCATGTGAGTAAATATCATTTCTTGTGGGGTCCCAAAAGGCTTGAGTTATGGTTCCCATTTGTGGTCCTGTTTCTTCCAGGCGGGATGGCTTGGATAAGGCACAAAGATGGTCGCTGAATGAAGAATATTGAAAAGAAAGTCTTAAAAATATCCCTGCAGTTGAGGATGAGGAAATGGATTTTGATGGCAGGAGAAAAGAGGAACTAGATATTTTGAGATAAGTAATGGTAGTGGCTATGTCTGGTTCTGAGATGACTCCTACTCCTCTGGGAAAGCAAGGGTGAAAATCCATTGCTAAAAGTTGAGTTTATCTTGGGTTCATGATCCTGGTCATAAACAGTAACAGAGAGTGAAATTGTTCAAAATAAGGTCAGAAGAAAACTCATGCAGTATTGCAAGACCGTGGAAGATCCCCGCATGCTTTATCCATAGGAGAGGATGATCACTCAGAATCTCTGGTCAGTCTTCAGCTTATACTGGAAAAGCAGCATGGTGAAATCTCCTGGAAATCATTGCTATATATGTATGAGTCACCATAAAGGAACCAAATTAGTTAGTTCAGGGCTAAGACCACATAGCCTCAGAGAGGTTTCATCGCCCTCTTTAGCAGAATTTTTACGATGGCTCTCACTGGGGACTCACTCAGGTATAGCTGCGATGAGGGCCATTACACGTATGTGAGAAAAAAGGAGAGAAAGGGTTCTCATATTTCTGAGACTTCATTATTTCTGCAAGCTACAGCAAAACACATTCGCAGGCATTCTACGAGGAGTTATAAATAAAGAAAATTAAACTACCACCGACCCGATGAGTACAGCCCATTTCATGCAGTGTTTTCATTGCAAAAGCACTTTGACTTGATAACTGGCAAAATTTGGAGATGTGAGGTGTGCAGTGCTGCTGATACGAGTAATTGGCAAGGGTGGAGGATATTATTTTAAAGAGGGGGACGCATTCAAAAGCATTTAAGGAATATAATGAAGCTACACACACAAAATGAATCAACAAGCGTCCACTTTCAAAAGTGTTGCCCTGGTACAGATGAAACTGAATTTTAGCTCCTCTGGAATCTGAATCAACCCCTCTTAGAGTTGGGGGAAAGGCTTAATTTATTATGTACCAAAGACAAAAGGGGTGGGATTGTGCCCTTCCTTGGTACAGTTCTTGGCAGTGGATGTTCTTATCTCTCCTACATCATGTGAAAACCGTGCTTTTCCAACCTAGGTGATGTCCATTGCAGGGGAAGGGTAAAGAGAAGATGCCTCCGCTGGAAAATGCCCAGGGTCACTCTTTTTTAAGAACCCTTCTGCTTGAATCCTGCTGCAGGGTCTGCTTTGAGCAGGATGATTTTTTACCCTCAAAAATACAAACCCAACCGGGCAAGCCAAAGCTTGATACCGGCTGCAGAACGAGTACTGCATTTGGATTTGAACCCAGAGCCTGGTCCAAGCTCTGAGGTTTTGTGCAGTACACCACCCAACGAAATTGCCTTCCCCCTCCCCGTTTCAATTAGAAAGAACATTAGGTCAATCAGATAAAGCCACATTGGGAGGATTTCCTCTTTATGGCGCTCGCCTCTTCAATTATCTATAATGAACTTCCTCACAGCACTGCGAAGCTTTTTATATGCAAACGAATCCTGTTTTGGGGCTGCCGCAATCACTGCTTGTTAATGAACTTGAAACAAGTGTTATCAGAAAGGTTACAGCACCAGTGGTGGAGGGGGACGGGATAAAGCCAGACAAGAAAGACCAGCCTGAAGAGCTGGGATTGGCCTGCAGGTAACACAGTGGACTATCTCCAACCCCCATCCTCCAGCCCCCTTCAGAGGCTTTTCTTTTTGACAGACATCAAGCAAAATGCCCACTCTTGGGAAATGGCTGCTCAGCAGCAGATAGGGCTTTCCCATCCTCCTGTCCTACTGATTCTCTCTGCCAATGCATCTCTCTCCCAACTCCTATAGCTGAGGAGGAAAGAAAGAAAAAAAAACAGAAAAAAGAGATGATGTTGCCAAGGTATTTTCTTATGCCAGGATAAAGAGAGGGAGCTGATTCAGACACCCCAGGACATTTTTGGCAGGTGACAGGGAGGAGTCAGAGGGTGTTGCAAACATACAGTCCCAAATGGCATTTACACATGGTACCTGCTGGTGTGATCAGAACTGGAAACTCTCACTCTTGTTTTAAGATAGCCTAGACCATCTCCTTCCCTTGCCCTCTATTTTTTTACAGGTCTACATCACACAGGTTTAGATTATACCACACTTTCTCATGCTGAGTAGTTACTTAAACCTGCAGGTAGCCTGAAAACTTCTGTGCCTTAATAGGGATGGATCATCAGACTCAAGGTTGGAAAAGCATTCCAGACTGTCAGACCTTGCCCTTTTGCCAGGACAAACACTTCTATGATGCTTTAAACATTTTATCTCAGCGTTAATAGTCCCCTGGGGACATTTTATCATGGGACAGGACAACAGTAGGAGCAGAGAGTGTTGGAACAGTGTGTTCCCCAAGCATTCTTGGGGGTCACACATAGCCCCTTTCCACACTGTCTGTGTCTTGTGCATGATAAGGTATAAGGCAACTTCTATTGCTCATATACTTAGTTTTACTGGAGCGTCCTCAGTGCTGCTCAGCACCAGCATCCCCAAGACAGCAGAGAATCCTAGCGATAGAGCTCATCAATGCCCACATTAGTTCGCTACCTCCAATCCTTGCACCAGGCAGCCAGGCTAAGGCGATGGCCTATTGAGCCTCAGTCCTTGACAGCACTTATTAAGCTAGGCCTTGTGCCAGATTAGCCCAGACAAATGATGGTTTACCTCCATCCGGCACCAGTGACTGTGTGCTTGGCTGTCCTGATTCTGGTGTTAACCTTGGCAAAGCCAACTGAAGTCCCCCAGGAACTCACATGAAGTTCTTATACCATTCACATCACCCTGTAAGTACAGATAAGAAATCCAGTTGCCCAAAAGGGCTATTCAGTCTGGGTACCCCACTAGGACATACAGACCCCACTAGGACAGACAGACCCTCTTTGGGGAATGAGGAAGATTTCTGGACTTCACTGCAGCGACACGCTGGGTGGTTACTGGATTTTCTTCCTGCCCCTGGCCATGGATCGGCTCACACCCACAATGTGATGATTGATGGCTCTTGTAATTCTATTGTTGGTTGGTGTAATGGCAAATGTTACGTGTCTAATCCATTTCTTTATCTTCCTAAGCTATTTACTTCAGTAAGATGCTTCCACCAACTGCTCTAACAAGCTCCCAGGCTCTCATAAGCCATAAGTTCCACTTTTGAGCCTTTCAGCCTCTTTCCCTACTTTTCAGCTCTGGATCAGTCATTTTCCTCCTGCCATCCCATGCACACACCTACAGACTAAACTCGAACCTCTTTAAGTACGTTCTCTGTCTTTGCTTGCACCAGCTGAACCTGGGCAGGACGGGCTGGAATGACGCTGCACTTTCATCTGGATAAGGGTGGCTGCACCATCATGATACTGTGACTCTCTACAGAGAGCCGGCAGTGTGACAAACATGGTGCAGAAAAATAAATTTAAAAAAAAAGGAGGGAGAGGCATCTTTTAGCATCTAGGAATTGAAAAGACTTAGAAGAGGGGACAGCCAGGCACTCACAAGTGATCAAGGCAGCGTGGTCTGTACATATGGCATGCTTATGTTTGGTAGCCTGTTGCAGGCTGTAGGGTTTTTTAAGTGATCCCATTTTATATCAAACTTCCTTGGATTAGCCAGGCGAACGCTACAATAATTTCCTAAAGAGTCAATAGCTTCCTAGAATACATGAATTTGACAGCTTGCTGTTGTCTGATTGTACTACGAAGCAGCAGAGTGTTGCTACTCTAACTAAAGCTGTGCAAATTAACGAGACCTTGAATACAGCCTTCTGCATTGCAGCTTCGGGTGCCCGGAGCTCTACCTGTGGGAGGGATCCACCAAGAGGCACTGGACTAACAGCTTCCACTTGGCATTGCTCCTGTTGTGAAAGAGTGACAAGCCTTTCCAAGGAATCTGCACTCATCGTGTAGCAGTTGTTTCTTGGGAGCTGGACTCAAATATTCTGTCCTGTTCTAAGCCAAATAAACTTTCTTTTTAACAACTCAGACTCTGTGGCTTGAAGCATGTCTTGCTGGAGCTAGCTGGAACTGTGCCTTTTGTACGGTGGTGTGTTGGAGATGCAAGGAATTACACTCAGATTTTTACTTTATTCACTTCTCATGTCATGGCTTTGCGGCTGGGTGAAGTCCCTGGAGGGAACACAATTGCTTTTCCACTACCTGATTAGTAGAGCTGGTATTAAACAGCACCAGAGGTAGCTTCCTTCAGTCCTGAAGGTTGAAAGTCTATAGTGAAAGAGGGAGATAGGAAAGGATGGTCTCTAAAAGAAATCCTTCCTCACCTGTTTATCTGAGCCTTCCCAGTAATGCTCCTTGAATATCCTTGTAATAGGCTGAGACCCAGGGAGATGCAAAGGCTTTGTAATCAACTGAAGTGAAGCGCGAAGTGAGAAGGTTGAGAAGCATGAGAGGACTCCACCTGAGGCTGGTAAACCCATGTGCTCACTTGTCTTCTCTCTCCCTAGGACTGTCCCCAGCTGCTGCAGGCAGAGAAGATCCTGGTGCCGGTGGAAGTGATCAAGCCCATCACGCTGAAGGCCAAGAACCTGCCCCAGCCACAGTCAGGCCAGCGAGGCTATGAGTGCATCCTGAACATCCAAGGCAACGAGCAGCGGGTGCCTGCCTTGAGGTTCAACAGCTCCAGCGTGCAGTGCCAGAACACTTCGGTGAGCAACATCTACATTCCTGGGAGAGATTCAGGGGCCAGTGAGGTCCAGGAGTGCCTACAGCACTGTCCCAATGGAATCTGAGGTTGTGTAGCAGCCCTTTTTCCAGTATGTCCTACCCAATCCCAGTCCCAGTCAAGGCAAGGCTGGTTAGTAGCTTGCAAATTGCCCTTTTTGCTCTTTAGTCTGGCTGATGTCATCACACAGTAATTGTGCCCTTGGATCCCAGCATCTGGCCATGCTGGAGCCCATTAGGGCTTCCCATCTCAGGCAGCCCTTCCTCACGGAGAGGGTGCTCAGGTGCTGGGATGCACTGCCCAGGGAAGTGGTGGAGTCACCGTCCCTGGAGGGGTTTAAGGAAAGGCTGGATGTGGCACTTAGTGCCATGGTCTAGCCATTGTGATACTGTTGAGTCATAGGTTGGACTTGATGATCTCAGAGGTCTTTTCCAGCCTCAACAATTCTGTGTCATTCTGTGAATCTGTGATTAGCCATGACCCGTAGGTACCATTATCGGTGTAATCCTCCCATGTCCTTACAGTGCCACATCCTTATGTGCACTTAAAGGATTTCCAAAGGGATGAGTGTTCATGATAACACTGAGAGTCACGGTTATTACGTGGTGTTTTGTTGAAGAGACATATAAAACCTGATATAAACAGTCTGAAGGATGCCAGCATGTAATGGGTCAACAGAAGGGTGAGATACTGAAGGCTTGAGTCAAACCTTCCTCCAGCCACTGACTCACTGCATGACCTTTGCTTTGTGCCTGTGCCTCTGCCCACCTCTGCTTCCCAATCTTCAGTGCAGGACCAGTGACCTCCCTCCCTGTGCGAGTCATGATGGTGTTGTCACCACAGCGGTGACACTTCTAGGGGCAAACACTGGCATCTGTCAGGAGCTGTGCATGTGTGCAATGATGGTCTCCGCTTTTCTGGAGGTTTCTCCATGAGATTCACATCTCCAAGATATGCATTTGAGTCATTCTCATTGCCACTACTACAAGATGATTTATTAGTCAAAGAGCTAATTGCAGGCTTTAGCCTCTTCGCTGCAGCTCTGCCACTCCATGCCGGGCAGCACTTGTTAAAATCAGTCGCAACATATTCTGCTGCATTAAGCAGTGTGCTAAAGATTATAGGCGGTTCTCACATTTTATGATCTGTTGCAAACAAGCAACCTCCCAATGACACTCTTCTATTTGTTCCTTTGTCCCTCTCCCTCCCCTTGATTTTTTACTACTTGTTAGTGACCTGTTAACATCCAGGTTTGAGGTTTCACCGAAATGGATGTCTTAAGAAATCACAAAGGATTTGCACTTAAAAAAATATAACAATAATATTCTTTTACTATGGTGAAAGACCATGGCTAAAGTGTTCTTATATTGACTTGGACAGACTCTACATATCTGTCCAAAGAGTCTTAGCACAGAAGACAGCAGTCACCCTTTATGGTTGTGAATTCTCTGGTACACACAGGTATGAGCATGAATTAGCTCAAGATTATTTTAATTATAGCTGGGCTGAACAGGAGACTGACTGCCCAGCAGTCCTGGAGGGTCCCTCTCACTATAGGAGTTTGTGGGATCCAGTAAATAAGCCTGGTTTTGAGAGGTAATCCTTACTATTCTCACACTACCTGTACGCTCCAAGATGTTGCTAGTGCCCAGGACCAGAGAAGCTGGCTTTGGTAAATCCCCAGATGCATTTGCTCATGGGATGCCTGGGTGCTGCGACAGCACCTTATTGGTTTTAATGTTTGTTTTCATGACAGAACACTCAACGCTACTCCTGAGCTGAGCAGGGTGTCAGGGCTGAGCCTCAGCCTAACGCCAAAGCTGCTGAGCGGTATCGGTAGGATTCCTGTCCCATGTTTGATAGTGGCTCAGGTGGACCTCTCACTTCTCCAGGGAGAGAGGCTCAGCTGTTCTGTACCCTTTTTTCTGCCTCCTCTCTCCTTCTCCCTCTCCCTCTTTCCTCTCCTTTCCTTCTCTTTCCTTCTCTCTTCTTCCCTTTTCCTTTGAAGACATTTTGACTCTCTGATTTGAGATTCCCCAAGAAATACTACTTTATTGCTGCTCTGAATTTGCCAGGCACTGACAGAAAGGTGTGGAAGGGAGATCCAGGCAAATGAAAGAAATATCCACACAAACATAAAAAGGCAACAGAGGAAACCCAGCTCCGAGAGAGTGGCAGAGGACACAGAGAATGGGGAAGGAGCCTTGTAGATGTGTCTCCTCATGATTATTTCCTTCCCTGGCAGAATTATCATTCAGTCTGAAGCCACTGTGATAAAATGAGCCTCTGCTCCAAGGGTCACCTGGCTTTAGAAACAGCCTCATGAGCTTGTTTGCAAATTGAATCAACCCCCTTCGACAGAGCTTTTTACTCAGCAGAGTTGCTGGATGAGGCACTGAATGTAGCACCTGCATTGCAGGCTTGGAGAAGGTCCAGGGGAGGGTGGGAGGATGTGTTGTGATGGTGTGTCCCTGAAGGGATGCTATCCTGCCAGCAGATCCTTCTGCTGGTGATGCATGCTAGACTAAGCAATCATTCTTGGCTTGTTTTCCTTCATAAGCCTCAAGATCTAGCCCCCTTCTCACCATACACTAGGCACTGGTGAGCTCAAATTCAGCTCTTGCACAATAACTTCTGCAAAATGCGGGGGTTTTCCTGCTTTCACACAGGAAAAAGCCTTTACTCTTGCTCTCCACTGCCTGGTCCCTCAAGATTTACACCAGAGACTAGAACCACCTTAAGCAAGTGCTTTTCTAAGTGGTTCCCACTTTGATTAAACAATGCTCTAAAGACACCCAGGTGGGACCAGCCTATCTGATGGTGTGTCAGTAGTGTCATATCCAGCTCTGATGGTGCCTAGGTGCTTGGTCCACTCAGTAGCCATCTCTGTCTCTTTCCCCATCTTTCCTGGAGATATTTCATTTGATAACAGCAATAAGTCACTGCAGGCAGCACGCTTCGGGACAATTATTGTTCCTGTCAAGTGGTTTGAGACTCAGCTCTGGGCTTCATCCTCTATCACACCACCCAAGGCACGCAATTAACACTCAGAGAGACCCTGCCTGCCATTCCTTATTGCACTTATGATAGCTCTGCTGACAGTCTGGACACAGAGTGATGGGAGGAAATGAAAAGGAGAGCTAAGAAGACATATAAATAAGTAAGTAAAAACGTCATCAGGAATCACTGAAATTGCTAGATCTATTAGGGCAGAGAGCAATCTCCCCAGTAGGAAACAGTGGGAGCCCCAGCACTTACAATCAGCCCAGTATTATCAGCCTTCGGCACGAGGAACAGGGAGATGGGTGGGAGATGACCCACCTGACCACACCATGATAATCATCATTACCTGCTGCAGTGACTAAACCCATGTTCTTGCTTGCTGTGAGCCTGCCCATTGTCTGGCCATGGCACACAGAGGCAGCACACACTGCTTTCCAGCAGCAAAATCCCCACTGAGATTTTGCCTCAAGTCCTTCACAGGTCTGCGTGTCGCGAGACCCAAGATGGTACAGCTGAAAGTGCCGCGTAACGTAGGGATAGGAAAAAGGAAATACGTTGTATTTGTCACATCGTTGCACTCGAGCAAAAGATTTCAGCGGCATTTGACTCTGTGGTGTGGCTTACACGGTGGAAGGAGTGATGAAAACATATAAATCAAAAAATAGAGCCTGGAAAAAAATGAGGAGCTATTCACAGAAATCATGGGAAAATACACTTCTGGGTGGCCAAAGCAAGACAAGCACAGGGCTGTGAGTTGTACATGTACTTCTCAATTATTATAATGCATTCTTATTATTTATCTGCATTCAAATATCGCAGTTATGATGAAGGTGCTATTGTTCTGGGCGGCAACCAGACAGAAAAATTCAATCCTGGCTCTGGGAAGCAAAGAGTCCCAAGAGAAGGGATAACTGTGGTAAATAAGTTTTCCACTTATGGTTTATGGCTGGAAAATTGATGCAAAAAAGGATTAAATGATTTGCATGGGATCACACAGGGAATTGGTGGCTGGGCTAGGTACAGGCATCAGTCTAATCACAAAAGTGGTGTCAGGGTGAACAGACTAACACTAAAATATTGGTTGTCTGCAGATGTTTCCCTACTCTTGGTCATTCTTTCAGGTACAAAGGGGAAACATCATGTAGCCACTCTTGATTTATCATTTCAAGTGTTCCCAAACCAAACGACCAAAGGACTTTGCCTGGTGATACAGCATCCCAGCAAGGTGCAGCGAGAGGTCAAGCACAGCTGCAGACCTCTGCGAAGCTGAGTTTCTCTAATTGCAGGGTGCCTGTAGTAACAGGATGCCCAAAAGAGACAGGAATTTGAGGATTTCTGAAACGCCTTCCATGATGGCAGCTACTGTTTGCGTAGCTGTTGTAGAACTGATAGCTGTGGTTTTGCAGGCATCTTCTTGTTTCAAGGATAACAAAGTTCCATGAGACAAACAGTCAATGTGCTTCCCTTACCTCACATACAACACATTAAACCACTGACAACGTGGCAGAATGGCCAGGTGATGAGATGGGCTCAACCAGTGAGTTTCTGTTACTCATGAAGAGTTTAAAAGGCAAAGAGCTGGTACCTGGGAGTTCAAAACATACTGTGCTGTTTCTGTGAATTACAACACCTCCTTTCAGCAGCTTTTTGGCATTTGATGGTGAGAACCAGTCTGCCTTTCTGGATGAGTGTCTTCTCTTTCTCAGTTTGGGCATATAAATTGCCCAATTTGGGCATCTAAATTGTAATTTTCTGCTTTGATTTGATGTGCGAGGTGATAGCCCAGATTTGGCAGGCTTAGAGGTCCGATTTACATCTTTTGAGCAGTTTTGTCCATGCTGGAGGAAGCTGTGTGAGGCAATGTATACATACAAGCCCTAATGGTACAAACACCCTTAGGAAGAGTATCTGGGAAGCTCTGAGTCCTGGAGATGGATACATCATCCCTTTTTCCTTTCTCTGAAACATATTTCCATCTTACTGTTACAGCTGAGCAAATCCTTTTCAAAGACTCCTGTTGAGTTCAGTGGGTTTTGAACAGGGGTCACAACGAGTTAGCAGCTCCTGCAGTCTAAAGAGGATGGAACATTTACTCACTGTTACTTTGCAAATTGCTCTGTTTCACCACGGTGAAGCCCATGAGCTCTCTGAGCAGACCAGGAATGGCAGCATGAACACCCTTGTTCCAGCCCCCTAGCCTGCTCCATCCTTGCAGCTCTTCCATAGGGATCCTGATGGTTATTCCCTCGCACCTGTTTCTGGTTTGGGATCAAGTCTGCTGAGTTAACAAGTCTAATATGTGTTTGCCCCCAGTGTCGCAGACAGATAAGATGGAAAATCCCAGCTGGGCTCCTGCTGCTGGCGCTTGGATCCTCAGTGGGATGAAAGGCTCAGGGGGACTCCAGCTGCCTGTCCCTTGGTGGCCCTGCCCAGGCTCTACTAACAGCTAAACCTCAACACACATGCACAGGAGGCTCTGCTGAAGCAGAAAGCAAAGCTTTCTCAGACACCTGCAAACTCAACTTCTGATTTAAGGGTGACCAGTGCTTCTCTATATATGTTCTTTCCTGTCCCCAATCAGCATTTGCAAAGTGTGGTGCAAAGCAAGCATTTGCAAAGCTCCTGAGTGGCAGAAGTTTAATTATTCTCTACTATTCAGCCGCATTCCTGTCTCCCCATCCTTGCTCCCAGCTCCAAAAAGCTGTGAAAAGCCAGTGTTGTGAGTCCAAGCGGCTCTGCATCATCTTGCATCTTGCTGGCAGTGACACCGAGAAGTGTCATAAAAATGCTAATACTGAATGAGACTGGCTGGTACAGCCCTGTCGCGAAGGGCTCTGCTAGCCTTGGCTGCTCTTTACTTCCATGGTAACCACAAAGCTTATCCCCTACAACTAAATTGTAATCACAAGGTCTTGCAGATTAGTGGCTAATTGTGTTTTGTTTGCCCAAAAAGAAATTACCACGCAACTAGCACTCACTCTCTCATAATGGACAGAAATCACCATATATGGTTTACTCTGCAATTATGTGGTGGTTAATAGATACAGAAAGACCTGCCTCTAAAGGCTCAGAGCTTTGGCATCTCTGTGGAAAATGATGCTGAGACTTTAAGTGGTGGAGAGCTCTTTAGTGGTCTCCAAGACATACCCAACCAAACCAGCTTACTGAATTATATTCAGCTTTGTAGTTGGAAAAACATAACTTTCTTTAGCTGTGGCAGTTTGTCCTGCTCTAGAACCCAGTGCAGTGGGAGATTTCTGATCTCAGGAGCACAAATCCTTATGGGCGCTGTGGTCAGTAATAGTAGCAGCCATGAAATGTTTCTCCCCTTCTTGCCATGTTCCCTCTGTGTCCTTTAAACAACAGACTCATTCGCGAAGATTTTTGCCTTTTGGAGAAGCATTGGGTGGAAGCTGTTGACGGAGGTGGGCAGCGCGGTCTGACGGGCAGCTGTGAACCCTGTGTGAACTGGCTTATGATAAACCAAAATCAAGCTGAAAAAAAACAATACACTAAGCAGCACGTGTCAGAGAGCTTTCTGAGTGGAGAAGGCTCCAGAGATCAGCTTCCACTTCTTTCATTAAGGCCAGCTCTGTGTTCCTTGGCTGTGCCTGACAAATGTTTGTTTAAGGCTGTCCAACTCCCTCAGAAGATTTCTATGGTTTTCTTAATACATATTTTCTGGAAACTGGATACCCCCTACTGCAGCTGAAGCCTTCCTGGTTCTGAGTAGGGAAAAATAATTGCCTCCCGAGGCTTACGTATGTAACAAACCCTATCTAGTACATCCCCAGATGAGATTTGTTTGTGTTTTTGGCAGCAATATGGCATTGTTGATTCACAATCTGTGACCTCCAGTAGTCCCCAGACCCTTTCCGGCAGCACTGGCCAGTCACTCCAATTTCAGATTTGTTTGCATTGATTTCTCCTACTGAAGAACAGTCGGTACCTGCCTGTATTGAATTTCACTTTGTTGATTTTGGCCCTGTTCTACAATTTGTAGAGTTTGTTTTGATTTCTTAACCTTGCTTTTCGATGTTCTTGCATCCTCTCCCAGAACCGTGCCATTCATGAAATCTCTAGTCTATCATCCGAGTCAGTAGTGAAAATACTGAATAATTCCAGACGTAGGATAATGTTCTATTTGAGATACCCTCCCAGCCTGACATTGAATTATTTGACTTTTGGGGAGGGGGGTTGGCTTTTACATATACCTTATGGTGACTTCTTTTAGATTGTGTTCTGCTAGTTTATTTATGGGAATCTCCTGTAGGACAGTAGCAAATACCCTACTGAAATCAAGATAAATCACATCTGCTGCCTCCCCTTTATCCACAAAGCCATTAAGCCTGTCAAAAAAGGAAATTAGATTGGGTTGACACAATTTGTTCTTGACAAATCTATGCTGGCTGATTTTTATCACCTTATCATCTTGCAGGTGCTTATAAATTGATTGTTTAATAATTTGATGTACTTTCTTTCTGGGAAGCCAAGTTAGACTGACAGGTTTATAATTACACAGAACCTCCATTTTCCCCCCTTTTTAAGGTATTTCCATGATATACCCGCTCTCTGGTTCCTGAGATCCCACTCAGCTTCCAGGAGTTCTTCAGAATATCACCAATATAGATAACCTTATATATACACTCAGCATCTATGGAGAATTCAGCAGAGGTTTATTTAACTGGCAGATCCACAGTCCCTAACATACACCTTATAGGTGCACCCAAGTGTTGGCAAATGTTCTTCAGAGCTGTGCTCACACCTAGAAGGTAGCTCTCCAAGATAATGCCCATCGCATGCAAATACGCTTAAATCATGGAATATTTGTCGAACGGCTAAGTAGTCTGAGAGGAGCATCACAGAATCACAGAATGTTAGAGATTGAAAGAGATCTCGAAAGATCATCTAGTCCAACCCCCCTGCCAGAGCAGGAACACCTACAGTAGGTCACACAGGAAGTCGTCCAGGCGGGTTTGAAAGTCTCCAGGGCAGGAGACTCCACAACCTCTCTGGGCAGCCTGGGCCAGGGCTCCAGCATCCGCACAGGGAAAAAGTTTTTTCTAATATTTTTGTGGAATCTCCTGTGCTCCAGCTTGTACCCATTGCCCCTTATTCTGTCATTGGACATCCCTGAGCAGAGCCTGGCTCCGTCCTCCTGACACTCCCCCTTGACATATTTATAAATATTTATGAGGTCACCCCTCGTGGGGTGACCAAGTAAGCAAACAAGGAAGCTTGGCTTGCTCTGTTGAAAACTGCATCTTTGAACAGCATGCTGTGGCTTTCTGGTGAGTTGTGATTTTAGGGGTAGCTGACATCTCCGTTTCTTTTGCTCACTACTTAAAATCACAGAATCATAAAGACTGGAAAGGACCTTTAAGATCCTGAAGTCCAACCTACAGCCCTACACCACTCTAACACCAAACCATCTCCTGAAGTGCCATAAAAACGTCCAGGGATGGTGACTCCACCACCTCCCTCGGCAATCCATTCCAGTGCTTCACCACCCTTTCGGTGAAGAAGTTTTTCCTAATATCCAATCCAAACTTCCCCTGGCACAACTTGAACCCATTCCCTCTTGTCCTGTCTCTATTCACTGGGGAGAAGAGGCCAACACCCATCTCACTGCAGCTGCCTTTCAGGGTGTTACAGAGCGTGACAAGGTCTCCCCTCAGCCTCCTCTTCTCCAGCTGAACAGCCCCAGCTCCCTCATCCCCTCTTCATAAGACTTACCCTCTAGCCTCTTCCCTCGTCCCATCCTCTCCTCATTTCTGGGCACTGTGTAAATCTGAGGTTGGGGGTTTTTTTACTGGCTTTTATTTTGTTTTTTCTTTTTCCTCTCCCACTTCTAGTATTCGTACGAAGGGATGGAGATTAACAGCCTGCCGGTGGAGCTGACGGTTGTGTGGAACGGGAATTTCAACATTGACAACCCAGCACAGAACAAAGGTAAAGAGTTATTTCAACTTGTCCTTGGAAGCGGTCACCTTAGCAACGGGCCGCGTCGCTCCCTACGCTCAACAAAGCCACCACCATCTCCCTGTGCTGCCTGGCACATACTTGTTCTCTGCGCTCTGCAAATTACCAATTTTTTGTGCTCTTTGTGTTCCCACTCCCCCCTCTCACACACACACACACCTTCACTTCTCTTTTCGCACCAGTGAAACGCGTGTCTCCCTCCCACCTGTATTGCTTTCCCTCTCCCTTCATCATCTTCGCCTCCCGCTTCCCCCCCCCATTTTCTCCTCTTGTTGTTATGCCCCTCCTTCTCCAGCTTTCTCCCTTTCTGTATTTCTCCTGCAGTGATTCAAGTCAGAATGCCAGGAGTTTGGGCTCTCTCTGTTCAGAGGCAGTGTAGTAATGAATAGGGGAGGAAAAAGGGGGAGGAGAAAGGCTGCAGAAAAGTCTAAACAAAATAAAATGGTAACAGCAAAGGACAGAAAACCACAACTTGCCCAGAGTCTGGGTCTGCTGAAACGCCACCGAGGATACAGGATTGATGTGCCCCTCACGGAGGAAAATTGCACGTCCAGTCAGAACCCTGAGGCAGGCATTTTTGCTAGAGATGGATGGTCCATTCGCATCTTCTTCCTTCTTGCTCATTACCCTCAGCCACCCCGAAGCCTTTCCTTCTCTTCTTGGCTGCTCTGCCTTTACAGCTCAGACCTGCAGATTCCCTTTTTCTCAGCGGCTTCTCCCTCTTTCACTTTACCTTGTCTTTTCTTGGACACTTCACACATCTTCTCCCACTCCATCTCTCCCTATCAGGTATTCCCATGCACCTCTCACGCCATTTGACACCCACCCTCATGCTGATGAGGCGTGGTGGGTGAGGTTTTCACCCACACCACATTGAAGGTGGAGAGCAATACAGGGGAGTACGAGGAATGTGAACTCTTTTTTGAACAATAGTGAGCTGTCCTAGCTGACATAGGAGTGAAATCACTCTAATGGTCATGATGATTGTGTCTTTAGGCATGTCTGTGCTGGTAATGTGAGCCAGATCAAGGGATGAACTCAAGAAACATCTCTGGGGCTTAGTGTTTAGTGCAATCCCCTACAAGTTGTTGGTTTATTCACACCCAAAGGGTTATAAATAATGACCAGGAAAAGTTTGGGAGGTGGCTATCTCAGATGAGTAGTTTGGATGATCACAGAATCACAGAATTGTCGGGGTTGGAAGGGACCTTAAAGATCATCTCCTTCCAATCCCCTGCCATGGGCAGGGACATCTCCCACTAGATCAGGCTGCCCAGAGCCCCATCCAGCCTGGCCTTAAAAACTTCCAGGGATGGGTCTTCCACCCCCACTCTGGGCAACCTGTGCCGGGGTCTCACCACCCTCATGGGGAAGAACTTCTTCCCAACATCCAATCTGAACCGATCCATCTCCAGCTTAATCCATTCCCTCTAGTCCTGTCACTGTTCGACATCCTAAAAAGCCCCTCACCAACATCCATGATGCCACGATGTTTTGGGCCAGGAGGAGAGCTTAAACACATGCATATAGGTGTCACGCATGGAGGCATACCACATGCTCTCAAGGATGCAGGGGACTTTATTTACTAGCATAAATGTAGGGGCTACAAGCAAACACAAAACCCTGGCAGAGGCAGGATAAGACCCAGTGCCTTCCTAAGTGTCATTGCACTGGGGTACACACGCTCACCGATACAGAAAGAAAGCACGACTTTCATCTTCAAGGGAGGAGACTTTTGCTATCAAGCCTCAGTTTACACATCGGTAAAACAAGGATAAATAGTATGAACTTATTTTATTAGGAAGACTGTAACGCTTTTAGGCTTTATTTGGAAAAAAAGCTTTGACTTCTTCTAATCACTCACCTTAGCATCCAGGTCTGGGTAGCCTTGCACCAAGCAAATCCCGAAGTTTGTCAGTAGACCAAGTCTAGAAAAACGTTTTAGGATGAAGAGCTGAGGCTGAGACTGACTGTAAGTGGCATTGTTTGATGTTCAGCCTCTGAAAAAGGAAGCGACTGAGGCCAAGTCACTGCCCGAGCACCTTTCCCTCCAATCTCTTGTTTGTAACCCATCACTATACTGAGGACAGCATCCTTCCTTCTGCTCTCAACTCCCAAAAACATCTTGCATGGGAGATGAACTCTGACAAGTGCAGTTTATTTCAAGAAGGATATAAATATTTCCCCCCTATTACTTACCCCTCTGGAAAGGTCTCGTCCTGCCTCTGGAACAAGCAGCCCAGGACACCTTCCCCTTTCTGTCTCCTCATTTGGCCCTCTGGCATCCCACTTCTTTCCCATGCTGCCTGCATCTCTCAGGTCCTTTCTGTTTTCCTGTCCTTCCAGTTCACCTGTACAAGTGTGGGGCCATGCGGGACAGCTGCGGACTCTGCCTGAAAGCTGACCCAGACTTCGAGTGTGGCTGGTGCGAGGGGCAGAACCAGTGCACGTTGAAGCAGCACTGCCCAGCCCAGGACAGCCAGTGGCTGGAGTTGTCCAGCACCAAGGGCAAGTGCACCAACCCCAAGATCATGGATGTAAGTCATGGATCTGCAAGAGGCTGGGTTATTCCCTCTCATACCCTTTCCTTGGGTTGTTTTCCCTATTTTTCTGTGGGTTGGTGAGGGGAAGGTCAGAAAAAAACCCAAGCAACCCTGGGGATAAAAAGCCATGGTGGCCTTCAAAGATTAACACACAGGTGTCTACAACACAGGGGTGATCAGAGTGTCAGAGTTCCTACCACAGTGGACATGAATCAGTGGCCCAAACGCATTCTAGTGGTGCAATCTAGGGAACCCCATAGCATCTGCCCTGCCCACAAGGGGTTGGTGGATATGACAGGAAGCCTTTAGGAGACATTGGCATCGTAGAGGAATAACTGAAGGTAAGACAAGATGCTTTGGGATATCTCAACTGGATGGTGTGAGAGCCCAACTGTCTTGAAACAGCCTTTCTGGCCAGCTTGTCTCAAAAGGAGATGTTGAGTGAGCGCAGAGTGGTTTCAGATTTGCTGAAAGGAAGACAAGGAGGAGGGCAGGTTGTACTTCATGCTTTCTGGCAGCATGACCTGGACAAAGGACAAGACTCTGTTGACTCCAGCAGAGTAATGCTCTTCTGTTTGCCTGGCTGATTTTGCATGATGAAAGAAATTCCCATAGAGCAAACAAAGCTCTGTCCTCCTAAAGAGAGAATGAGGGCAAGGTTTGGGGGCAAGGACCTGCAGGATGACAGTGTTCTTTACAAAGTTTCCTGATTCTGTCTACTGGGCCAAAGGAAGAGCTGAGGAAAAGGTACAAAGCAGAGATAAGGGAATAGAAAGACCACAGAGAGAAGGAATGGAAGAAGGGAGGGAAGGTAAGGGAGATAAATGCAGAGGAGGAAAATCCAGCCTCCACAGTTGTGGTTTAATATGAATAATTTAACAGTTTATTATCCTACAGAGCAAGAAAACCTTTTTCAATTGTGTTTGGTCAGGAATCAAAAAGTGTGGATGTTTTAGACAAACCAAAGGCCATGTGTGGAAGTTTTGTGAAAGCAAATGCTATGTAGATTCTCTTTTTCCCAGATGCCACCAAAAGGAAACCCTTCTTATTGTGTTTTGATCCATTTTCTTGTCATTCATTCTGATGTTTCCAAGGTGGAGGTCTCCATTGCATTTGGATTTATCTGGTGATGATACTTTAGAACTACCTGAAGCTGTGAAACCAAACCCAGACAGCCAGAATGAGCAGCTACATCTGCAAGTTCAACTTTGAGTCCTTGAAAATTATTGGGAGCTGGAGAAAACTGTTTTTGAATCTTTACAGACCTTGAGAGAGATTCAGAAATTTCACACAGATTCATAGAATTTGGTATTGGGAAGCTGATAGATGACCAACTAAATCATAAATCCAAACCACAAGAACCTCACCATACGGTTGCATGATATTCTGAAAGTCCATCCACATTTCTCCGCCATGCTTTGACCCCAGTCCTGCATCTACACTCTCTTTATGAAGACAAAGCACTCCTTCTCCACCCCACAGCTCCAGAGAGGACATATTTTTATTTCTGCTGACATTCCCCCAACAGCTCCCAAAGCTCGAACAGATCATTGCAATATTCGCTCATGAAATATTCCAACTGTCTGGTGCAATCATAAGTAGCTCTTGGAAAATCTTTTTCTGAGCCATTAGCGTGGAAGTAATCTCAAGTGACTGGATATATATTGCAGCTAATGGTAGGTCTGGAGCAGTTGGTAAGAGCCTGAGTATTCTGGCCAGGAGCCAGCGCAGGATCCGTGCAGGCGAAGGAGGAGAAGCAACATGTGTACTCACACTTTCACGGGCACACACACACACATACCCAGCGCAGACCTTCCCGTAACCTGTAGTTATTTATTAGCTCTTGCATTTATGTTGCCCCTCGGTGAAATTAAAGGACTCACTGAGCCGCAAAACCTCCTTTAAGAGTGACAAGCTGCAGCGTTAGCCTGATAGGAGCGAAGGGCGTAAATCGTGACGCGGCAGCTCGGGGTCTTCAAGAGGAAGCTGAGGCTTCCTGGCAGCTTTTGTTTCCCTGCCTGAATTTCCCTCTCCAAACTGACAGGTCTCATTCCAGATTTTTACACCCGTGATAGAAACAGGCTCCTTCTCTGTCCCTGTGAAAAAAGCACGGTAACACCTTCTTCCCAACAACCATGGGAGTGCAATGAGTTGGGGTCAAAAAATCTCCTGGTTTAAGGAAATAGGTGTGGGTTGTTTGTTTTCTTTTTAATCAGGCTTTTATAAATTAAAAATTGCGCAGGGAGGTGCTGTGCTGGCTTCACTCCTGTTGATGCTTTTTGAGTCATAGCAAGTATTTTAAAATGATGCTTTTTGAGTCATAGCAAGTATTTTAAAAAAATCTTGTGGTTTAGAAAGGGATGGAAGGAGGATGATAGTGTTCTTACTGATTTTTTTGGTGACTTCTGCAGTGAAACTTTCGTCTCTAGTTCTAAAGAAATTTACTTTTCTGGCAAGATGTTCCTTTTCACCATCGCACCTTCTTTTATTCAGAGTAATGACATTAGTCATGCAAGAAAAAAAATCTTTTTTTGATGTACTCGGAGTTATACTGTCCATGCTACTATGCTTCTTTCAAGCATAGCTGAACCCTAATTAACCACACGCCTAGATTACGAGACACCTACCTTACTAAACCATTTAAAAAACATTTAATGGCAAGTTTAATATCACAAAACAGAACCAAAATATTCCGCAGGGAACTCAGTTCTCTTGCAAAGTGTATCCAATACACAAGGAAATAAAATAAAATATGGGAATTTTAGTTTATCTTCCTCTTTTCATTTTGAGTGAATATTAGATTGAGTTTAGTATGGTGATATATTGTAGCATTCCAGCATCATTCATATAGTGTTTTATCAGGAGAGGATTGACTGACATCAGCAAAATAAGTATTTCAAATAGAAAACTTTGCTTGAATAGATATTTATTAATCATTCAGAATAGAAATATTTTGAAATTACCATTTCTGGAAAATAGTTCAAGTCTTCAGTGTTGAATCTCCAACTGAGACAATTATTATTAGATTCTCCTGGAACAGAAATTCCATTTTCATTCTCATTTTTTAAGATACTTTCCTCATTTCCTGGAAAATAACCGCAAATTCCTTTTTTTTTTTCCCCTTTCTCGTTCAACCCATTTTCTACTTGTCTATCATTCTCATCACCACAGACCATCCAAAAGTCAAATCTCCGACCAACTCAAATAATCTTTTCACCTGACAGATCTGTGAATGCTGTGCTATTTTCTTTTTAGGATTTAAGTATTTTGTTGACTTGTGAGATAGTAATAGGCCTGCCATGGTTCTGATTTTGTTGACTCAAGTAGCATTTGTCTGGTTTTCGGACCTGATACGGGGGATCTTGTGCTGCAGAGGTTGTGTCTGTGCTACACAACCCTGCAGGTCCACACACTTCTGGGTGACCATTTGTGCTTTTAAATCGTTCATCTTGTTGGTTCCCTCTGTAATCAAAGCAAAGACACCCTCCTTCAAGAGGTGGTTCGCGGCACCTAAAACTAAGTATCCTCAAATAAAATATCCCCTTTTTATTCAAGACGGACCTTCTAAAAAGTCACCTCTGGGTGGAAATTAGGCTGACCCAGGTGCCAGACTCGGTGCTGGGAAGCAGTCAGGAACAGCCCTGCTCGTGCCGGTGTCTCGACTTTCCCTGACAGTCCGACGCCTACGCAAGGATGTAGCTGCCAGCCCGAGATTCCCAGTTGGCAAAGCCATCGGCTGGCGGGTATGGACCTCAGACATGGAATTCCCCCTTCCTGACTTCAGCAAAGAGCCTTGCCAACGCTGGCAGATGGCAGCCATGGCATCCTGAATGGGCAGCAGGGAATACCCTCTGAAAGCCATGTTTGAAGCCCCTTTCAACTCGCCAGTTGCACGACAAAGCATTTGAGCATGGCGAATAATTGGAAGGGCAGAGCTGCAATAATTGAGGGCCAGCCCCATGATTTCTGTGTTGTTTCAATGCTGAGGAGACAGCTCCAATGCTAATTTCCACCTGGCTCTGAACAAGGGTGATGGATGGGATGCAGAATGCTTTCCCACGTGCACACCCCTTTTGCACAGCCCAGCAATACTGCACAGAGATAGACAGCCCTGGGTGCAGGGTGAGGATCTGTAATGGCAGGGAGAGGTAAGCTTTGGAGTTTGAGTGGTGCTTGGTCTCTGCTGTCCAACACAGCCACTGCTGAGCAAGACACATGGTAGGGTCTGGTGAAGGTCCAGACTGCGATGTAAACATCACACTAGCAGCCACCAGGATGGTTGGAATAGCCACTTCTGTCATGGTGGGACTTGCAAATAAGCCATCCATGCTTCCATGCCTGCTCTTTCCCTGGCCTCAGCTCTCCCATGAGGGCAGCTGGAGCTCTTTCAAAAGTCCCTGTTGGCACACAGCAACTGCTGCTGCTGTCTCAGCCACCATCCACCTACTCCCTACCTAACTGACACCTTGTTTCTGCTGTGTCTTGGCTGTTTTTTTTTCAGCTGAGTTTGTGGTTCGTGACCAGCCTCCTGAACAGATGAAAAACTCCATGTGCTTTGGGCTGGACATTTAGGATTTAAAAGACTGAAGCCATTTTTGCCCTTTTTTTGTTCTTTCTCGCATTTTTTTCCTCCGTGCCCCTCTCCAGCCTTTCCATAGCTCATGTCTACAAAGTGCAGAGCTCAGCTGCATCACTAGAAATTCCTGCTCCTGTCTAGAAAACATCTCCTTCTTGTCTCTGGTTGTTTTGCAAGTAGTTTAAAGAGAGTAAATGAGCTCTAGGGTAGAATTTTTTATACTCTGATGTCGGGGCATGTGTGGTGTATATTTACAGGGGAACTGAACCGAGCCTGGAGTAGACTTGTTCCCTCAGTTGTTCAGCTTTCATAATTATGAGTGTATTGACTCTTCTTTCACCCGAGAGGATGCCGATGTCTTTACGAAGGTAGCTTGATCATTCTCTTTTATCTTGGTTTATTCCTCCAGATCAATCCAGTGACGGGCCCTCGTGAAGGAGGGACCAAGGTGACCATCCGTGGGGAGAATCTGGGGCTGGAGTTCAGAGATATCGCGTCTCACGTCAAAGTGGCCGGAGTGGAGTGCAAACCGCTGGTGGAAGGGTACATCCCAGCAGAGCAGTAAGTTGGGCGTGTGGCAGTCAGTTGGCCACAGCACATCTATTAACTTGTTGCTACCTGTACGGTCTTCTAAGGAGGCCATTCCACCCAACTTTGGAAGTGAGGAACAGAAGATGCCATTCCTTTCTTCCAGCTCAGGAGCTCATCATCCGTTTATTACTGTATTTAGATGGCATATTTAGATGATCCTCATGGCATACGCCCTGAAGTTATCCTCTATTTTTTTACACAACCAACACCACAAGGGTGTTCAACATCAGTTTGGTGGGGCAGCAGTCCCAAGAAGCAGCTTACCACATTCAGGGGTGAGCCTTAAACCTTGCAGCTGCATAGCTCTCCACCATGCAAGATTGTAGGACAAACAGACCCCTGTGGTCAGACCTCAGCCCAGCGTTTGTCTGTATATTTAAGTGAAGCTCTGTTGATTTACACCACCTAAACATTTGTCTCAGCAAGTGCCAAGAGCCAAAAGCCACCACTCTTTAAAGATCCAGAGTTCAGATCCTGGATTAAAATGAAGAAGATGGATTAAGGCTACAGTTCATTCCTCAGCAATATGGGCTGCTTACTCCAATTCCATCTTACCAGACCACCAAACCATCCCTCAAGGCTTGCTTCTGGCTCTTATTTTCTCCACAGGATAGTATGTGAGATGGGGGAGGCCAAACCTAGCCAGCATGCCGGATTTGTGGAAATCTGTGTGACCGAGTGCAAACCAGAGTTCATGGCCAGGTCTTCGCAGCTCTACTACTTTATGGTAAGATCCCGTGAGAAATTCTCCTTGGTCTTGAGGGTCTTTGGGTCCTGGTCCCTTTTGCTGCATCTATGCATTGTCCTTGGCCATATTCAGCCTCTGAGCTCTTCACTGCAGTTCTGAGTGCATCAGGTTCCATTTCCTTTCAAAATCTTTTTATGAGCAAAAAATAGCTTGCCTAATTAATGTTTTAACAATCTAATAATAGTCCAGATTATTAGTCCAGTTACAGTTACATACAGCCATGGCCCAAATTAGTACAGAAAATCCTCATTAATAGTTAAAAATGCTATACAGGAAAGAAAAAAGAAAAGGAAAAAAAAAAAGAAATAGGAAAAACCCCACACTTCCCTAGCATTTTACTTTTCCTGGGTGTGATTCTCACTTCTCAGCATCCCTCCAGGCCCTCCTGTTGGAGGCACTAGTGTCCTTCAGGAGAAACATAGGGTGTGGTGGGTGCTCCTGCAAGATGCAGCATCAAGGCATGTTTAAATTAGGTGGTCTTCCTGGTGTCCAGAAGAAGCAGTGTCGCACGCCAGCAGCACTCAGTCAGGAAGGAGCAAGTCACAGGCATAACTCCCACCTGATGTGTGCTGATGACATTTAGAGAGAAGCCACGCTCCTCTTTTTAGGGACACCGCTGGGGCTGGCAACTTGCCTTGTTAGACCTTCTGTCTGGGACATCAGCTTGCAGAGCAGACAGAGGGTCTCCGGGTCTGATTCTGCACTACTCCTGGAACTAGTTCAGCCTGAGACCATTGCTTTTACCACAGTGAAAGCCTTGTGAAAAAGAGGAGCAGGGCCAAACACTTGCTGCGCACTCGGTATTTTGCTCCTTTCTGATGATGCTCCTTGTCCAAGAGACCTGCTTATTCCTCTGAGGCCCCTTGCTGGGCACTTGCAAGCATTGCCTGGCTTTGATCTGTGCAGATCTGTGCAGGTTTGAGATGAGAGAATCCCTTTGTTCCCACCAAAACCTTTCGACTCCTTGCAAGGGAAAGGGTCTTTTCTGATATTAGTCCCACGCCCGAGCGTTATGTTGAGGTTTTTTTATGTTAAAGGGAACCGGTAATGAATGCAAACACCTTCAATTTCCCCCTCGAGCTCCAGAAATTTCTCTATTCTCTATATTTTCTGATGTCACTCAGGTGCTACAGTGGTGGGGGCAGAGAAATACATCGAGGATAGCCCCCGCTAGGCAGACAGAAGGGCTCTTTCCAGGACATTACACTTCAGCGTGTCACCTTTGCCACTCTTGGAATTACTGTCCGATTTTGATCATCCGTGTCCATCTGTGACAGCTTTTCCCACCCCTTGCTGTCTTTCTGGCTGCCAGCTACCCCAGTCGTGCATGAGCATGAAGTCAACAGGTTTTTCCCTGCTGAATACCTTGGTGCCTTTGTGCTAGACAGAAAATAACGCCGACGCTCTCCAGCCTGCCTGTCATATACCCTCTCTCCTGGGTCCATTGCTTTCATAGCGGGAGGTGTGTTTGTTGGCTTGTCTTGGCTTCCTCTGATACTTCTGCCAGGAGGGTAGAGATGTTATTGCAGGCATCACAACCCGCGTTCGTATCCTGCAGCGGTGGGTGGCAGCTTTAAGGGAAGGAAGACGTCTGAAAACTAAGGAAAGGAATCTCACGGGAGAAAAATGTCACTTTCCAATGCATAGCGAAGCCTCTGGGGAATTGTTTTTCAAAAGGCTTGAGACAAAACAGAGTCAAATTTGGCCAATAGGTTAAGCCATCCCCTCTCCTGCAAGAGTTGGAAGAAATGGTATTTTGAGCTCAATAGAGGATTTAATTTCAGTGCTTTAAAACAGAAAGAGCTTAGCTTAGGGATGCTAGAGCAGTTCTTCTCCATATTTCTGACCAGAACTTTTAAATTCAAAATATTGTTAGTTTGTTTTAAACTCATCTGTGATCAAAAATGCACATTGCATTAGAAAGTGCAGTAAGCTGAAAAAGGGAAACAAAGCACTGGGGTGCAGGCTGAAATTAAATTTATGATGATGTAAATGAAAATAATCTATTTTCTGCTTTTTTAAAGTTATTAATTTTGTCATTATGATTATTGCCATGGTCTTTCAAACAAAAAGAATAAAATTCCCTTTGCTTTTTAATTCATATGGTGAAGCAAATTTGCCTTTATGCTGGCTTTGGATGACAATATCATGGCCCAGCGCAGGTGATGTGGGATACCCTGACAGCATCTCTTCTGGGTCTGCCCCTAAAATCCTTGCCCCAGGAGAGCATTTGCAACAGATCTCCCTTCCATTTTTCCCCTCCTGCTGCTACTGTTTAACCTATAGAAAGGAAATCCAGGTGTACAAGCTGTTTGTGAGTCGCATCTTGTTTTGACCTTGTCCCAGGAGGAATGAAGTGGGAACCAAGGTCTTGACATGCACCACGACATGGTTTAAGGCTGAGCTTTGTAGAGCAGAGTTAATGGTTGGACTCAATGATCCCAAGGGTCTTTTCCAACCTGAATGATTCTATGACCTCCGTTTAGATACAGCTCTGATCGCAGCTTCTCTGTGGACAGCCTGCATGGAGGAAAGGACTAGGGAGCAGAAAAATGTAGGCAAGTTCCTAGAAACGTACAGAAGTTTTCCAGTCATCTTTCCAACATTGTCACTGTCCAGTTCACCCTCTTACGGATCTGCTAGACTCCCTTGCGTTTTCCATCAGCTTTCGCTGGAAAAGAAATGGTAAATGGTCTGGAGGCTGAGGTTTTCTGCACACATGCTGTGCAATATTTATGAAGGCCACTGTGAATAATTAATGGTTCATCACAGCTCAGCCACAAACCCTGTCGTAAGATCAGTGCAGGATTATATCTACACTTTGCCAAGGAGGTTTGCTGTTGTAACTCTGGTCTGTGAAGATACTCAGAAGGATATGGCTAGTTTATCTGCCTCTGAGGAGAGGGCAAGAATCCCATCCAGGAGTTGGAAAAGGGTTCTCCGTGGTTTGTAAAGCAGAGACTACTGCAGCGCTATTCCAACTTCCAACTGTTATTCCAGCTATTCAAGCGCTATTCCAGCTTCCAAACCTTCCAAACCCTGGTGTAGGCTATGTGCATTGAGCTGGCCTTTCTCAACCCATTTTATCCCAGGTGGGAGGTCAACTCCCTGCAGCAGCCATCATGGTCAGCAATAAATTGCACTGCTGTAGGTGGATGTGAATAAGGGATTAAAGAGGAGCTGCCATCAGATCTTGAGGTGGTACTCTAAAAATAGGAGGACTGCATACTGAAGGGCATCTTTTTCATCTACAGACTCCCTCTGCATCTTTTAGCCCAATAACGGCTGCTAGAGAACATCCCCAGAAAGTACAGAAACAGTTTCCAAACCGTCGCATCAAAACCAGTCAAGTTAAAACACAAGAATGATTCAGCCCTACAACAGTTTTTTTTCTAGAGAGCTATATGTCTGATTTTAATGTTGAGCCCTTTCTCCCAGTGGGAGCTGCTTTTTGACAAAAAGCGAAGTGGAAGCTGCTGTTTTTCAAAAAGATTAGCCAGAGGGAGCCGGGGACAGAAAGGGCTCTGGGTGGGTGAAAGAGGGAGCTGAGGTGTGCGTTGGGTGGTTTTATAAACGTGGATTAATGGTCTCCAAAGCTCAATAAGGTGCCTGCGTGATGTACCTGCTCATTCAGAGGAGCTCAGGAGAGCTTCAAGCATTTGTGTCATCATTCTTAAAGAGAGGAGGAAAAATAATCTTCATTTAAATGCATATAGTAGCTTTTCACTTGGGACTGAATGGAAAGTTTTTCTATTAAAATGCAAATGAAAGAATAAACTGTAGCTCCAAATTTCTCCCTGAAAATGGATGTCTCCTCTCTGCATTGTGCTACCAGGGTGATCCATGCCTTCAGAGTGTAAGTATTTTATCTTGATTTTGAAAAGAAATGAGAGCAGGAGGGTAAGAAAAAGAGGCTTGAGATTTGAGGCCCCTAAAGGAGTTGTGCCCCTTTTTAATGTATTAACACAGTGCCATGTTAAGTTTGGAAAAGAGACTTGGAAAACCAGCAGAAAAAGGAAAAAAATGTTCATCTGGACAGTGGCTGGAACATTTCAGAGTACATCCCAACATAAGCATCACTGTGTTTTATCAGTGCAAGACCCTCATGAGGTAATAGACTGTCTCAGCATCCAAGCCTGATAAGAAAAAAAGAAAGATTTTTGGGTCATGTGAGATGTAGGAGAGGCAAAACATGAGCTCAGATGCTCCGTTGAACCACAGCTTTCCTCTTTTCCAGGGGAAAAAAAAAAAAAGAAAATACAGACTGGGATTAGATCTGAACTCATTGCACCGAACTTGACATTGAAGAAGGGTGTCTATGATAGGGCTGGTGTCATCCCAGACTCCTCTGTTGGCTAGGAAATATGATCATCTTCTGAAGTCCAGCTAACGCATGACTAACCCCTGGGGGTGTTACCTCTCTCCATCCCTAAAACAAGAGAGGGAAGGTGCCTATGCTCCTTTGCTGTGTTTTCCACTTGACTCTTTGCCTTCACAGACTCTGACGCTCTCTGATCTCAAGCCGAAGCGGGGACCAGTGTCAGGTGGCACCCAGGTGACAATTACAGGCAACAACCTCAATGCGGGCAGCAATGTCATCGTGACCTTTGGGCGACAACCGTGCCTCTTCTACAGGTACAGACGAGTCCTTCCCACTGAATGTGGCCGTATCTGAAAGATGTGAGCAGTTATATGTCTGCAGCCGAGACACCCTATGCCTCAAGTGCCTCCTTTCCCTGCTGCCATGTTACAGAATCATAGATCATAGAATCATAGAATGTTGGGGATTGGAAGGGACCTCTAGAGACCATCTAGACCAACCCCTCTGCCAGAGCAGGATCACCCAGGGCAGTCACACAGGAACGATCCAGGTGGGTTTGAAAGTCTCCAGAGCAGGAGACTCCACACCCTCTCTGGGCAGCCTGGGCCAGGGCTCCGGCACCCACACAGGGAAGAAGTTTTTTCTCATGTTGAGGTCGAACTTCCTATGTTCTGAAAAGACCTTTAAGATCATCGAGTGCAACCATTAACTTAACACTGACAAGTCCTTGACTAAACCGTATCCCTAAGCACTATGTCTACGCGACTCTTAAACACCTGCAGGGACAGGGACTTCACCTGTCCTGGGCAGCCTGTCTCAATGCCTGATAATCCTTTCAGTAAAGAAATTTTTCCTAAAATACAATCTAAATCTCCCCTAGTGAAACTTGAGGCTCTTTCCTCTTGTCCTATCACCTGTTACTCGGTCGAACAGACCGACCCTCCATCTTTCTACAACCTCCTTCCAGGTTGTTGTAGAGAGCAATAAGGTCTCCCCTCAGCCTCCTTTTCTCCAGGCTGAACAATCCCAGCTCCCTCAGCCCCTAGTCACAAGACTTCTTCTCCAGACCCTTCACCAGCTCCATTGCCCTTCTCTGGACATGCTCCAACGCCTCAGTGTCTTTCTTGGAGTGAGGGACCCAGAACTGGACACAGAACTCAGGATGCAGCCTTGTCAGTGCCCAGGACAGAAGGACAATTCCTGCCCTGGTCCTGCTGGCCACACCAGGGCTGATCCAGGCCAGGATGCCATTGGCCTTCTTGGCCACCTGGGCACCCGCCTGGCTCAGCTTCAGCCAGTTGTGTCTGTGGGCTTTTGCATTCTGCACGATGCCCAACCTTACTGTGCATGTTTTGTGGTGGAGGAATGGGATTTATTTCATTGTTTTGATTGGCATTTGATATGTTGTTTGTTGGGTTTTTTTTATCCCTGGCCGCTTGTCAAATTTCACTGCAATTCTCTACGGTCCTATGCTTTGCTACTTGCTCCAGGAGTACATCGTTTAAAAGATTCATTTTCATGTCCCTGCTTTAGCAAAGGTGACAAAGAAAATCTGACAACATCGGTTCTGAGTATTAGAACTTTTATCCCAGCATAGTCCTGTAGTGCTAAGAAATGGGTGATTTGCAACATTTTAGCTCTGGGTTGGCTCCTGTTCAACTGCAGTTCAGAGAGGCTTAATGTCAGTGTTACCTGCTGAATGTTCCCTGATCCCTGTGAGAATGAGCCTGAATCCCATTCCCAGGGGCTCCCGCAGCTCAAAACTACCCAGTGCAATACATTTCACTGCCAGTATTGATGGAAGCTGAAGATGAAGTTGGCACATTTCTCCCAGCATGTCCCTGGCAGAAGAAAGGCTTATTCGCAGGAGACCTGGAACCACTGTCTTGGGGCAATGCCCTTCCATCTCTTGGCTGTGGGGATCCTGTTTAGCAGCCTGTCATATCTGTGGCGCGATTTGACATCTTTAATTCCATGGACTGAAGTCCCAGCTTGTGATTTAAAAGAGCAAGTGAGAACCACAGCTACTTGCCGAAGAGAATGGGGAGTTTTGGGAGGGATTGAGCGTGATCGTACGGGAGAACCTGGAGAGCACCTGGAAGGTGCAGTCAGCAAAGGTCAGCGTGATGCTGCAAGAGAAGGATACACCCCTGCTTTATCCTTTCTAGGGGAATAAGATGAGGCTGCATCACAAATCACAGGACTGGGGAGACTGAGGGCATTTTGAGGCTGTTTTTTTGCCTCTTTAGAGAAGGTAAGAGCCACTGCAAAATTCAGATCTGGAGCTGTTTTCAAGCCCTGCCCAAAAAGGAAAGGTTTGTGCAGAGTCCTTACTGAGTATAACCATAAAATGTTTCCCACCATATTAGCACCTTCCATGCAAAGGTCCCAGGCACACTGCAAACTGCACTTAAAAAAGCCTTACGGTCCTAATGCAAAGTAAACTTTATTATCCCAGACTGGAGTGCTGAGGTGCAAACACCCCTTTTTATGAGCTGCTGCTGCATATGTCTGCAGGCAGGAAGGAAACATCCATCAAATGTTTAATTGCCCAGAAATGGTTCTGGAGGGAGATCTGTTTTGGACTTCCTTTGGGGTTCAGCTTTCACTTTGAGACCTGAGAAGTGATGGCTCTTGTGGTTTTATTTAAACTAGTGAAAAGGCAATGCCACTTCTTGAGATAAATGTGTCACACCATTCCTGTAGCAGTGAGTTTCACCCCTTCATAGGACAAAGGTTAAGTTCACTGGACGTCGGAGTAAGTAGCTGAGCTCTTTTTTGGCACCATTTGCTTTGTTGCTGGTAGCACCCAGTTCCCATTTATTTGCTTCTGCTCACAGGAGATCCACCAAGTACATCGTTTGTAACACCACTGCCTCAGATGAAGGCTTTGAGAAGGTGAAGGTGTCCGTGAGAGTGGACAAAGCCAAGATACGTCAAGAGTTGCAGTATGAATATGTAGAGGATCCAACCATCCTGAGGATCGAACCTGAGTGGAGCATCTTCAGGTAAGCAATTCATGGACATCCCTTAATACTTCCCATGGTTTTGTAACTCAGCACTGGTTGTTCATATTGGTCCTTGATACAGAAGAGTGTTTTACCAAGGAAATAAATTTGTGCAGAGCTAATTTCCAGGGCCCAAGACCTGTCATTGGTCTTATAAACCCAGCCATAAATGTCATAACTGTGCTTAGAGAAGTGAAGCTCACTTGGTTTCGAAAGCAGCAATTCCTACCTTTTCCACAGGCTTCATAGACTTGCTGGTTTAGGATTAAGTATTTCTTGTTTGGCTGTCGTGTCTTAAAGCCCCAGGGCTGTCGCCTGAGATGAAACACAACGGGAGCCCTTGCCCCTGTCCTATCAAAGAGCCTTCCTCCTCATTAGGCATCCCCTTTTCTCTTCACCCTGTTGATGCTGCTTTGGTGAATTCAGAGGGTTCACACGAAGGTGTTTGAGAGGAGCATGTTATGGAAGGCATAAAAGTGATACCCAAATGCTCTCAGAAGCCGTCAGAAACAGCCTCAGGAAGAGAGGAATTGGTCATTAAATGCACTGTTTTTTCCCTTGAAAAGGTACAAAATAAGAAATCTTAGTCTCCTCTCATTCATCCACGGCAGGTCTCTGCTTCCCTGTCAACCTGGACCGATTGGAGTATCTGGGGATTAGGAGCAGAGCTTGTAAATCCCCCCATTTCAGCTCCCATCTAGAAGATGTTTTCACAAATCAATTAGTGCCTTTAATTACTGTGAGGGAATTTACTGATTTAGCCAGATTGAATCTTTGCACATTGGGCTTGAAGCTTTAGTGTCTGGCTTTTCCGTTTGAGGGTTTTTATTTTCAGTCAGAGTTCAAGCTATCAATGAAACGAGAAATCACTTTACTCCCTTCCTTATTAAAGTGAGTTCAGTGTCAGTATAAAGGTGCAGGACTGACAGCCTAGAAGAGTGAATTCCCCTGTTATCCCCAGGAAAGTAGCAGCATGGGAACCTTCCTCTGCCTGGCCTCAGGTGTGGCTGGGAGGTGAGAGGAAAAGTTCTCCAGAGCCTGTTTGCTCCTTGTTTTCTCAGCTGAAGCTGCCAACAAGAGCCAAAGAAGCAGCCAAGGAGGTGCTTCAGGTGTATTTGCAAACCTTTGCCCAACCTGGGAGTACAGAGACTCTGGATCCTGTTGCTTGGTGCCTTGGATCTCCCATCCCTCCTCTAAAGGAAAATTAGAAGAGGTGCTTGTTTGGTGGTGCCAGCTTACTTGCAGCATGTGTAGCTGCTAGGATGGGTGACTGGGGCTCTCCCTTTCTCATTGTTCACATAAAACCTCCACCCTTTTCTCTCTTCACTGTCTCTGAAATTAGAAAGCAGCCACTTGACAGATGCCTGATTTTAACCAGACCTGCCCACTTCCATCCTCTTTCCTGTGCACATTCTACTCACTCCAAAGCTGCATAACCTCGGAGGAGGGTGCAGAGGTAGAAAAGGTGCAATATCCAGGATTACCTGGATTACCAGGACGGTTTTAAACACTTTAACTGGCAGCTTTGTCCAACAAGTCATAGTGGAGCCAAGCGTTAGGGTAAGACCTCCTCACAGAGCTGGATGAAAGTGCAACCAACTCCAGGCCTGAGACTTGAGCAAAAAATAAGTTAGTCAGGACACGTGGATCTGGAGATAGACTCGGTGTATTTGGTATGTGCTATGATTCATTACAGCAAATCCACTGTGCTGCTCTGATTCATCACTCCTGGCTGTGGGGCTAAGCTGTTTCGAGCGATAGATGATTGCTACTAAACCAGCTTTGAAAAATTAGTGAATGAATGTACCGAGCCTGACTTAAAACCTTCTCAAGTGCCATTTTCCAAGACAATACAGAAAAGATTACTGCTAATTTACTCCCATAGCCAAAGAAAAAAAAATAATAAAAAATTAGTCACACTGGGCTGGCAGCTAACTAGAATTTCATGAGACTTCACTAATACTTTTTGATCTGAGTCTGATCTGAGTTACATCCAGCAATTATCTGAGTCTGCGGACAGAAAATTATGTTCGGAGTTTTGAGGGACAATAAGGAGTTAAATCAAGAAACCTCATAGTCTTGGCACTTCTGTTATTTTGCTGGGCAGCAGCGTGTCTCCGGGCTCTGATAGGACCTGGTCGAGAAGTGGCCGTGACCAGGCATTTACCTGCAGACACAAAAAGAAACGGCTTGTGGTTTTCATGCAAAGGCAAGCAACAATTTTATTTGCCAGGGAGGATTTGAGGGTGATTTTTTGTCTTCAGCAAACACAACTATTTTGGCTTTTTTTCAACGAAAAGGCCCCTCTTATACGATGCCGTGGCTCTGCTGAATAACTGTGGTCTGAGCCCACAAGCTTGGTTTCCAAACCAAATACAGAATTTTTAACACGTGGGTTTAAAACTGTGTGCACAGACTTGACTGATTAAATAAAAGGATTTATGTATATAGATATACACACGGTCATATATCTGTACACATTTGATACGTCTGGAACACGTAAAACTTTCAGCTGGGTAAAGATAGGAAATCTCTTCCAGTTTGAATCAGCAGAGATTCATAATGATCATAATAATAAAGATTATAAAGACATACAGCCAAAAATCCAGAAGAACCAGGACAGTTGAGAAAGAACAACTTTATATTTTATATTATATTTTTTATAACTTCATATTATGTGTTTATACTCTTCTGGTTTCTGGTGAGTGACCTCTCCCTGGCTGATGTCAGGAACACTTCATATAAAGCATGTGAAGCTGAATTTTGGGGAGAGGGTATTTTTTCTGTAAGACAAAAGAGAGGTCTCTTTTAAGTGGGTATATGACTTCAGAAGAGGTCCTCTGTGCATTCTAGAAAACTCAACCATTCAAGCAGATCTAATGGAAATAGCAAAATGTGGTTTTGCCCCATAAAATTTCCCATTAGAAATATCCCATCACGGTTTCAGAGAGCAAGAACTTGAGGTACTCTGCGAAACTCAAGGTCAAATGTTGTCCCAACCATGGATCAGTCTGCACAGGTATTGCCTGAGTGAAAGATCATAAGGAACCTCTCAAAGAAGTGTCATAAGAGAACCTGCCGAAAGATATAGTTGTGATAACAGCTCAGGTGTCAGAACTCACGGCTCATAACTTCAAGTTTACAGGTTTCTTGATTACACAGGCTGTGTTTAAAGCAGTAAGTACTTTATCCAGGGCTATTTTTCAGTCCTGAATCCAACAACCATGCATAACCCTCATCTGTACTATCAATGACCTTTCCTCCTTTTAAGGAAGTTTATTTTCATCTCTCCTGCTTGTTGGGACTACTCCCTGGCCCTGCCTATCTCTTGAACCCCGACCAGCCATACCCTGGACTACTACTAACAGCTTCTCAGCAATTGTGGTCACCAACCAGTGTCTGAGTTAGTGTCCTGGCTGTTTGGTTTATCGGTGTGGGTGTAACTGGAGGGGCTGAAGGACAGTCTCAGCTAGCTGTGGCCAGCTCACTGAAACCCAATAGCTACACTGCTGAGCAGAGATGTGTATTTGCACTTATTCCTACCTGCTTCATCTAATTAATAATGGAAGATAGATGAGGAACCTGGAAAACAAAGGTCAGAACTGAGGGAGGTCTACTGGCCAACACAGGCTTTTTTTCTTTACAGTGTGTTTATTCTCTGGTGGTTTCTCATTTGTAATGGAAGGATGTACGGCAGAAAAGGACCTGGGAGTTCTAATTGACAGCCGGATGAATATGAGCCAGCATGTGCCCAGGTGGCCAAGAAGGCCAACGGCATCCTGGCTTGTGTTAGAAATTTTGTGACCAGCAGAAGAAGGGAGGTGATTGTCCCTCTGTGCTCAGCACTGGTGAGGCCGCACCTTGAGTGTTGTGTTCAGTTTTGGGCACCTCAGAATAGGAGAGATCTCGAGGTGTTGGAGCGAGTGCAGAGGAGGGCAACAAAGCTGGTGAAGGGCCTGGAGAACAGACCTTATGAGGAG